AAGTTAATTGTTCTGCATATTGTATTACTTCTACTACTACTACTACTACTACTACTACTACTACTATTACTACTACTACCACTACCACTAGTATTGCACCTCACTCTGAGCCTATATATACCCTCTGTGTCCATGTACTGTTTGTAATGGCTTGATAAAGCTCCTGGAGAGCGAAACGTTGCTACAATAAAATGTCACATTAGTTGCACTTGTGTCCTTTTACTTTACATATTGTCGGTAATTCTACCAACTTTATTATAAACAAAAAGAACTATGCAAAAATGATATATCAGCAAAAGCTAACTAGTAAAAGACTAAAATGCCTACGAATCACGGAGAAGAATGCAAAGAATATATTAAAAGTCCCAAAGGGGTCTTTTCTGAACACCAAAGAAGTTTAAATGTGATTAATGCACTGGGATCAGACAATTTATCACACTGGGTATTGCTTTGCTGTGAATAATGGCAATTAGTTATGGCACCAATGGAAATGCTTGAGGGTTAGCGAATAACAAGTGGAGTGACCAAGGATCGTCACTTGGACGACTGCTCGTTTTGATATACTCATGGGACTTGTCATCGGAAATTGGATAGTATTACGTATGTGCCTCTTTTTGCATTTCAAGGGATTTGATGAAGATGATGAAATTAGATGACGATAATTGAATCGAAGATGATTTAAGTAAGCTAAAAGAATAGTAATTTTTTTATGAGTCTATTTGAATTAAATCATGACAAGTGCAAAATAAGGAGATTTGCATAGGGAGTGAGAAGACCGCACACGGAATACAGCATTAAGAACATCGTAACATACCTATAAACAAAAATATCAGGGAGGAAGCATTACACAAAGGTTCTACAGAAGCACATACCAACCATCGGGTTTTTTTTTTCTTTCCTCGCTTACTTGTGACTTGATAATAATCCAGAATAAGATAAGATGAGATTTGTTGGGTTTTTAACCAGGAGGATTAGTCACCCAGGATAACCCAATAAAGTCAGTGCGTCATCGAGGACTGTCTGTCTTCTTACCATTTGGGTCTTTTAATCGTGTCCACAGGATGCGACTCACACCAGTCAACTAACACCCGAGTACCTACTTACTACTAGGTGAACAGGGACAGCAGGTATAAGGAAACATGCCCAACGTTTCCACCCATGCCGGGATTGAACCACGACACTCAGTGTGTGAGCGAGCCACGGAACACCACAAGGATGAACATCAACGTCATCTAGTTTTCTCTCTAATTAATGTATAATTAGTGTATTCTTACAAAAACGATGTTCTGGCCTTTATTCTTCAGAACCAGCTTACCCTAAAAACCGCTGTAATAAACTGTAAAAGAAATATTTAGAACAGTATATACTACCTAGGCCTGTCTTGGAATATATTGCACCAGCATTAAACCTCTCCCTTCATCAGGCATTTGAAGAAACTAAAGGAGATCATGAAATATGTTAAGCAGAGAGAGACAGGGAGAGAGAAAGAGAGAGAGAGAGAGAGAGAGAGAGAGAGAGAGAGAGAGAGAGAGAGAGAGAGAGAGAGAGAGAGAGAGAGAGAGAGAGAGAGAGAGAGAAGACTGCAATGCACTACTGGCGACCTAAACAGTCTCCAGGAAATAAAAGTAACATCAAAGAGAGGAGAAAATATTCACGGAACTGGTTTACGAATAACATCCGGAAGAAGACGCTACATCTAACTAGTAAATATTAGAATACCTTATAGATATTCTCCTTAAATGTGAGTCCATACTCAGGAACACAAGAACACAGTATGCTGTTAGCCCATGCTAGGCATTTCTATTTCATACCCACCTGTACCTACTCATCTACCCATCAAACATATATATAAAGCTACCTGAAATTCTTGCTTCAATCACGGAACTTGGGAGTTTGATCCATTCATTCACAAATCTTATTGCAAAAACAAATACTTCCCTTTATCTTTTCTAAATCTAAATTTTCCAACTTGAATTCGTCGCTGCCAGTCCTCTCAATGACAGATATTTCCAGCATAATATATCACTTTCTACAAAGTGAAAATTTAGCGCCTTCAGCTTATTTTTGTAGGAATGGCTTCTCACACATGGAATCAACTTCGTTATCTATTTTGTATATTTCCAAAATGTGTTTATTCTGTAATAAGACAATCAAAGCTGAATAAGGCCTAATCAAAGATATGTAAAGAAGAAGTATAATCTTAGGACTTCTATTATTTATTATTCTTTCTATAAAGCTAAGAATTCTATTAGCTTCATTGTGAACACTCATGCACAGGATATCTTAGCTTTAAAATTCTGCTAACCAGGACTCCAAAATCTTTTTCACATTCGCTTTAACGAAGATCTGCATTATTTATCTTATAAGTGCCATATTTGTTTTCTTCTTCTAGGATTAGAACCATAAACTTGTCTGTGTTGATTTTCTCCTCCCCCATCTCCTACTAGAACTCAATCTATCCAGGTCATCTTGTTCCTTTCTAGAGTCTTCATCAGTAATTATTTGAAGGGTTATTTAAGCGATATTTGAACCTTTACTTATGTTCCTAGTTATTCCCTAATTCATATCGTTGATCAAGAAAATAAGCAACAGGGGACCCAACACAGACCTGTTGGTGCAAAACTCACAATGGGTCCCTATCCTGATTTCTCATCATTAATGCAAACTGTTGCTTAACAGTCAACTGTGCCTCTACACAGGAGAGAATTTCTTTTACTCTGTGCCGCTACTTTCTTAATCAGTCTTTTATGTGAAACTTTATCAGAGGTATTACTGAACTCCATACACACAATATTATATGATTTTCTGTGGTTTATTTTATCGAATACCTTAGTAAAATGGTTAATAAATTCGTAAATCAAGATCTTCCCTTCATAAAACCGGGCTGAAATTCTCTAATCATTTTTTCTATTTCAAGGTAGCTTCGAATTGCATCAGCAATTAATAATTCCTTCAACCTTCCTGTGATTGTGATTATGTTGATTCGGCTGTAATTTCAAGCTGAGAACTTATCTCCCGCTTTGTAAAGTATTGTTACCTTTGACGTTTTTCACTCCTCCAGAACTATTCACATTTCTAGTGATTTGTAGAAGAGACTAGCTAATGGTTTGCTAAGGTTCTCCTTACACTGGTTTATAACCTTTGAAACCCTTGAATTGTTTGTCTTCAGTGTATCTGGTTATCCAAGGAACGTGTCACTAGTGAATTTGATATTGAATAACTTATTTTCGTCCTGTTAAGAATAGTTATTGATTTCTGAAAATTCGTTTGTATCTCCTAGTGTATAAAAAGATTGGATATTAACGGTGAAAATTGTAATTATTTCTTTGTCACTAACTGATTTGAATCGCATTTGGCTGCGCCCACCTCTTCCCTGATCTTAATCCTATGTATTTGAAAAATAAAAAAACTTCCAAGTACGGTAGCTCTTACGTTTCCCACACACACACACACACACACCCTTACCTTTATTGATTATCAGTTTAAAGTTTTACACAGCTTACCAACCGCTTGTTTAACTGAGCTGATCATAGTGGTCAACCCTCGCCAGAGAGATTAACCCTACCCCATCCTTTGCATACATATCATGTTTGCCATAGAAATTATCCTGCATATCTATGAGTATAATTTAAAGTCCATTGCCGTACTCGTCTAGCCAACAGTTTTTCCCATTTGTACATAACATCTGTTTACTGCCTACTCATCTACTAGGGAAAATACTATATATGATTAGGCTACTTTCCTTTCATCTAATTAGATCATAAGTGCTTTATATCTGGCCAGCAACTCTTCTCTCCTGCATTTCCCTCTATCTATAAATCTTATTTAGGAATCCCCAGCAACAAGTATGTTCGTTTTCCTACATGCAGAGGCAAAAGTCCTGTCTCTCTGTCCTCATCTGCACTTTGTCCTGAAGAATAATGAATTTCTGTACTCTATTCCTGTTTGAACCTTCTTTATTTTCATTCTCCTTCAACTTAAGGGAACTACTTTCCATTCATTTCATCCTACGTTTTTTCTTAACTTTCCATTCATTTCATCCTACGTTTTTTCTTAACTTTCCATTCATTTCATCCTACGTCTTTTCTTAAACATGTTTTCAACTGACGTTTGTGTGAATGCATGTTTGTTTTTTGCTCAATCCAGGTAAAAAGATCATATGACATCGCGCTATGGTTCTAGGTACAGTAATTTCTTAAGTGTTGCTTTATTATCATATGGAATAAACTGAACAACCATATTAAATATGTTCGAATCATATTCAGTCTCGAGCAGCACGAAATGACTAGATCACATTACCCAACTGAATTTAAGAGGCGGACCAGACACTGGTAAACTTTGGTATGTAGAAAAACAGTAGTCCATATTTATTGACATATAATTCCCCTTTTCTTCTTCCTCCGTAAGCCATGTGTGTCGTAAGAGGCGACTAAAATGCAGGGAGCAAGGGGCTATTAACCCCTTCTCCTGTATAAATTACTAAACTTAGACAGGAGAATTTTTTTTTTCTTTTAAGGTCACCCTGCCTCGGTGGGATACAGCCTGTTTGTTGAAAGGAAGGAAGGAATTCCCCGTTTAACGATATCTCTTATAACTGTGAAACATAGTAATGTCTATCAAAATCTCCTATGCTCATATTTATCCAAACAAACAAACATTTTTACCAAAATTGATTAACTTAAAATGTCCGCAACCATACATTCAGAGAGAGAGATAGGTACATAGATAGCTAGATAGAAATATACAGATTTATGGATGAAGAGAGACAGAGACAGCGAGAGACGGACTGTGTATGTGTGTATCCAATCAGCTCGACCAATAAGGCAGGAGTTGCTTTGTCTTGCTCTGCTATAGAACCGGTAATACTGAACAGTGTCATTATATGACAGACATCTGTGTCAGGTGATTTCCCCTTATCAGTTCAATAACAACAGTTCATATATAGACTAACGACCCGGTCTTCTAGCAATGAGTCACCCATAATCAGCTGATCCCACCAGGGCCGCGGAGGCTGGCACGACCCACGCCACCTAGACGCTGCATGGGTCACTGTTCATCTCAGGGACGTCAATGACAACCCGCCCGTGTTCCACCGCCCTCACGCCCACATCACTGTCAGGGAGGACACTGCTCCCGGGACTCTCCTGGCTGCCCTTCGCGCCCACGATCCTGATATGGTGAGTAATTTCGACTACCCATGTACTCTGTTTACTTATTCCCAATGAAAGTAAAGGCGGAAAATGTATACTTTCTTCTATGTACCAAAACGTTCTTACGAAATATAAACAAGGGGAAAGAGAGAGAGAGAGCTACAAACCATACATAATCACAAGGGAGGAGAATGCGAGGGAGTTTTGCGTTAACCCATTTGCAGGTATTGGGCTAGAGTCCTCTAACACTTGTATCTCTCAGTGTATATACACAGAGAGATTTACACTTGTATATCCTGCCTGTGTTGAACCTTCCCTAACAACCGATCGTCTTAAAAATCAATTTTAATTCTGACTGTTTACTAAGAACAACATGATCACTGCTGGAAAATTGGATATTCATGAGTGAAATATTGACAAAGTTGCTACTCCTCATAATACTCCAATGACTCTAGCAATCAATTATTATTGGTGAAATGATAGAAACATATATTTGCATAGTTTTTATCTAATAAATTGTGATTTTACTAATGGTTAATGGGAACTGAAACCTATCGACTAAACGAGGGTCATCAAGTCTGCGCAGTAACCTTTTCACCACCTATCAAGAATATTTTAATCCTTAAAATAGGGATCAAGTTAAATTCTCAGAATATATACTCTGTGAGAAATTCGCCCCTCTGGGTTTATATCCTGTGACTGGGATCTTCTTACTAGAAAACAATATTTATTACGTTTTGAGGGAGAATTTTATGAAAAACATCTCAGTCGTTATAATAATAATAATAATAATAATAATAATAATAAAATAATAATAATAATTATAATTAATAATAATATAATATAATAATAATTATAATAATCTTTATTTTTTTCTTCAAGTACACGATACAACTGATATAGACCTAACTGATAGACCAAACTGAAATCACTGGCATGCTATTTAAAAAGACCCTGGTTATGCAGGATGCGACTCACAATAATCACCTAATACCCAGCAGAAGTAAGAAAAAATGCCCAGCGTACCACCTGTGCCGGGAATCCGTCCCGGACTTCTGGTCTGGTTTACTTCGTACAAGTCAGTGGCTTGTGTGGTGGGTTTCTTAGTGTAAAGCGAAGTAACATCCAAATTACTTAGTTGTTATTGTATATTTTTACCTAAAATATCGTCGGCAATGTTAACAGTATTTAAAGGGAATGTATAATCAACTTCATATTTGAGCAGAAATATTTAAATAATAAGTTCCAGGATCTACAATTAGCCATAAAATGGTCGAAAAATTCAATCAGTATCTTAGGAGCTATAAACATCCTTGATTTTCCAGGGGCAGTCGTGATGTTCAATAAGGTGAAATCAGTTACTATGGTACGTAAGCTTTACATGGGAGAAGTAGGGACCGGGGTAAAAAAAAATATACCTTGAAGATGGTTACAAATTCCTGGTCGAAAGAATTATTGGTACCCTCTCCATCAGTGAAGCTAACCTAATTACCTCCTCACGTCTCACATTAAGTAGGCTCTGCATTATTTTTGAGCGATTTCCCGTGATAACAATACAGAAGCATTTATCATGAGACACTTATGCAACATATGGGAATCTTTATTAAAGAAACGTTTCGCCACACAGTGGCTTTATCAGTCCAGTACAAAGTAGAAATGGATAGGAGAGGAGGAGATTGAGGTAATCAGTCCCTCAGCCTGGAATCGATGTGTTCAGTCCATCAATCACTCTTGTAGAAAGTGCAGCATATGGCCGGAGAAGTGACTTTTATATTGTAATCAGGCGAGTCGAAGCAGGATGAGGGGCCACTGTGTGGTGAAACGTTTCCTTAATAAAGATTCCCATATGTTGCATGTCTCAGTCTTCAACTTGTCGGTTTTAAAATCCATTTATCACCATCATTTATCATCAAACATCGTGTTCCTTGAATTATAATGCGATGTAATATTCTAGTTGCTATAATTAGGTACCAAGATCTAGGCGCTTATAATAAGCCGTAATGTTCCAGTTACTATAATAGAATGAGCCCTGATGTGCCAAGAAATATAAAATAACACTTATTAATTTAGAAGTTATAATCAGTCAACATAATAAATAGCATTAATCAGTTTCATGGCCCAGGAGCTATACTCAACCATAATTCACCGATAACTACAATCTATAACATTCTGAAAGCTATAATCAGCTATGATGTTCGTGAAGGTATAATCCGCAGCTGTAATTAATGAGCCATCATGCACCAGGAAGAGGCAAGGGGCCCTGTTTATTATGGATGATGCCGTTAACTGGAGGTTACTGAGGGTGGTTCTGAGAGCAACAGCGAGGAGGAGTCAGCCTATTCATTAGTGAAGATGACAGAGGGCCGAGTTAGGGAGAAAAAAATTACTCGACCCCAGCGTAGTGTTGACTTTCATTTTCCGGGTATCTCTCTCTCTCTCTCTCTCTCTCTCTCTCTCTCTCTCTCTCTCTCTCTCTCTCTCTCTCTCTCTCTCTCTCTCTCTCTCTCTCTCTCTCTCTCTCTCTCTCTCTCACCCACAGGGTTTTGCAAGTTTAGGTTTAGGGTTCCTAACTTTATTTACAAGCTAAAATCTGTTACTTACACCGTCTCATTTTAAAGCTCTGTATTGTTATGACATACTAATATGTAACAGGATGAAGTTGGAGCCATCTGTGGACCAGCGATTTCATTTGGTCAACTGACTTTATTTCATTGATGTCTTAATGTTGTACTAACGTGTTCCAGATTCGAGTCTTCCTAGGAATAATCTCAGATGAAGTGATGTCCTGGAGAAGGTTACAGTCAGAATGTAGTTGCAACTTGTTGCCCGTCTTGTTGTGTAGAAACCCACGTATCGTTGTCCGTGGAGTGAAACGAAGTGTGGTAAGTTTACAGTATTGGCATTGTACATAACAGTAAGGCCACCCACAGCCCTCCTGTGTTGAAGGCTCTGCTGAAAAGACAGATCTGTCCAGGCCGGATCCAGGCAAGAGATGAGTCGTCTCGCTGTGTTCTCTATTATGTTCTCTATTAAGTCGCAGATGAGACGGGGGGCAGGCAATCCAAGAAAATGGAGCATATTCAAGGTGTAAGTGTGGAGAAAATAATCTCCAGTTTTAAAGAGCAGGGGGTATCTCTCAGCCCTCAGCCCTCACCCCTCACCCCTCAGCCCTTTAAGGGACTTAACCCTCCCGGAAAAGGGCTAGTGGACTTCCATTTCCTTGTTCTCACAATAGCTTAATTATAGACATATGTGTAAAAGGCGTCACCAGGTACGCCTCTTTCCTTGCTAGAATTTCTGAGCAACTGCACAACGAGAGTGGAAAATTACATGGAAACCGGCGCTCCACTTGATCTACAAGTCAGGGGTATATAACTAAACAACAAGAAAGCAGCCCTCTTGTGTTAAATTCTATTGCAAAAGCTAGTAGTGAATGTCTATAAAGTTGAGTCAGCGTTTCCTTTATGGATATGAGGAGCTGACGGATGCTACGCAGGACACAAGCAGATTGACTTAAATACTCAGAGCGGGGTGCAGCTCATGAAATCTTCCGATGAAAAACAAAGACAAGTGAAACCATACCACGGGCGGGATTTGAACCCGCGGTCAGAGAGTCTCAAAACTCTGACCGCGGGTTCAAATCCCGCCCGTGGTATGGTTTGTTTGCAATCGTGTCATTACGATTTCGTGAGTCATAAAGACAAGTGAAATTGTGCGTTAGACTCTGAAATACTGTCAGTTTCCACTAGGAAATTTAACTAGAATAAATAGTATCAACGCTAGTGATCCACGGTATAAATCATGATGAAGCGTGTTTTAATATGTTTTCGTGGTGTGCACTCAGGCGTAAGCAAACACTGGGAGAAAATCTCTCCCTACCGTGAATAAAAATGGTGTTATTAAAGTGACTGTGATGCGTTACTAGTGATAGGACATTATGGTGACGTATGGATATTAGCAGCCACCAAGACATCATTTCCGGGGTCAATTAACCTATTTGGGTCCGTTACAATACCCAGATAAGTCCGGTCATGCTCATATCGTCTTTTGTTAGCTGCAGCTAATAGGTAGATGTGGTATTTGATTGGGGGTTACCAATAGACCCCGTTACACACGGGCTTTATTCCCATCAGCAGTGAGTAACTCATCACATTTATCGTCAAATGTGAAATGTTTGAATTTTGCACTCCTTTGGGGCAAATTTTAATTAGGTACTGACTATTCTAAAGCTCAGGTGTGGGGATACCTTAGCTTTATCGAAGGAGACTTCTTGACCCGCGACTGCAGGAAGTCTGAGCTGCCAACAAAGCTAAGTATCCGTCTGTTGTAGTATTATTATATCGGAAAGTAAACTTGGCTGTTAAGTCCCCCCCCCCCCCCACGTAAGCGTACTTGTGCCTCGTACAGAATCTTGCAACCTCTGCTGTCGAGCCGATGCGAGATACATCTGAATGCTGTGTTTAACGGCTGCTTTCTTCTCAAGATTTACAATATGGTTCTTCATTGTCAGTTTTGAGTAAAATTTCACCCCATGGATATCAACTTCATCCCGGGTATGAGCACTGTCCCATTCATTTTTACCACTGCTCTAGCATTACAATCATAATTTGTGTTTTCTCAGGCGCAAGTGTGGCCTGTCATCGTTTTTCTCATGGCGATATAGCTGTAAGGTGGTGATTGATATATCTTAAAGCAGCTGACATTTTCGCTCTTGGATAAGTAATTTTCAAAGTACTACAGTCCTCTGCATATTCATGGGATTCTGGGATGATTTGAAGGTCATTGAAATAGACCTTCCATAACAATGGCCCAAGCACATTTCCCTGTGGAACACTTAAACCAATAGAATGTTTTGTTGACTCTGTCCCATTGAGAACTCCGCTTAGAGATCTACCATAAAGGTAATCACTGAGGAGGCATAGTGCAGAGACGGCGACTCCTAGTGCATGCAGTTTTACCAAGAGTCCCTGGTGCCAAACTCGGCTAAAAACACCATCCAGTGCTACTACACAACTGACTTGGTTTCA